ACAGAAGGGGTAATTAAGTTGACAATCATGATGTATTACTACATAATTGCTTGTTTTTATTTTGGGCCTTACTTGTCATATTGTATATATTCACTCACGTAATAATATGACATAATTGTAAGCAAATTTGCAATTTTTTAGCCATTTTGATAATAATACCCTTAAAAAAATTCTTCAATATTTAGACATTCAAATTATTATTATTTTATTTTTTGTATGATCACTAAAATTATTTGCTCTAACAAAAACAAAAAGATTATAGAAGGTGAGGAACTATTTATACAAATATTCTTTAAGTTGGGCATCACGAAAAAGTGTTTTGTGGTTTAAATTACATAACACCAACTTTTTTTAAAAGTAAAACAATATATTATTAACTTAATTTAGAATACAAGGGATACTCAATTTTACATATCAAATTACACAATACTTATTTTTAAACATCCAACAGGATGAAAGTTAAGGAACTAGCTATTTATACGTTTATTTTTTAGGTTTATATTGCTTAATTATGATGAAATACCCGTATCATCATGCTTAATCTCATTTCTAATAATTAATTGATTAAGCTTTGGTTTTAATGAGCTGCTCTTTCGCAGCTTGTGCAAGCTTGGCATATGGCGCAATGCTGATGATGGAGGCATTAGCTGCAGCTTCATCCTTGAGATCATACTCAACAGTTGATTTGATGATGCTTGAATCCTTATCTTTCTCAATGATCTCGAATCGAACTCTATACAGAGTGAAGCCCAAATCCAGATATCCCCCTTCCACATCCTCTGTTTCCTTCACTCGATTCTCATTGTCAACCTTGGTATACTTCTCCTTGTACCAAGTAATCCCGGGTATCACTCCTAGTATAGTGAAACAATAAAGTCTCGTGTTAGTTTTAAAATTGGTTACTTTAAAATCCATGGAAGACCTAATTTCTTGAAGGAATAGTAAGCAAATTTGCCCTCAGATAATTTTTTTCATTAAATAAGTACTTGATAAAACTTGATAGTAAATCCACTCTTAAAACTTACAAATAGCTGTAAATATATTGAAAATAAATGGAAAACGTTAGCCAATTTGTCACGTTATATCAGATAATTAATTAATTAAACATTAACTTTATATATTCTTTTCGTTTTTTTAGTTGTCATCACCGTACATGTATGTTTATGCAATGTTTTTTTTTTATGCTACAATATAAGTATTTATTATTTTTTATAAATTATTAAAACTAATTAATTAACAAGATTTATGTATAAAAAAATTTAAAATTATTATTCATATGGTATAAAAATTTATTGCCCAAACAAACATATGTACACAATCAAAATTAGACCACTAAAAAAAGGGATCTCAAAAAAAAAAATTTATATAACTAAAATTTCCGTCATGGCCGAGGTAGGATGAGAGATAGTATGATATGCAGTAGCGTGGACTATTTGGAATATAAAAAATGATAAGGTGTTCAACAACGGCTCAATTGATATTTGGAAGACTAAAGAGTTGTTGATTCTGTACAGTGAAGACTTATCAATGGCGAAGAAATAGACGGAAGAAATGGCAAATTTCTATATCAGATTGGATTTTAAACCCAAGGGCTTCTGCGAGCAGATGATGAACTAAATGGAGATAATTAGTGGTAATAAGAGAATTTAATTTGGTTAAGGCCCATGGTTGACTCTTAGATAATTCTCAATGTTGTACATAGTTTTCAGTATTTTTGTATTTAATTAATAAATTTTGCTTAAAAAACAAAAAATAAAAATTTCCCTCAACTTTGGAGAGATTTGTTGTTGTTTGTAAGCTTATGGTCGCGAATTTACCATCAAACTTCTTCGCGGGGAGTGTGGGCGTTATTTAGGGTAGAAAATTATTTTATTCCTCAACGTCTCAAAGAAAAATTGTTCATTTCCCAAGAAACTGACATATAGAAGCTAAAATCAAAATTTCCTTCAAAATTGATGCTAACTTCAATCAATAGGAGCCAGAAAACAAGGATCAAAATGGTATGTGAGTAATTACTAATGAAGTTACCTGGTACAAAGACAAGTTTGACAGTAGATCCTACTCCTCCATCACCAACAAACTCAGCCTTTTCAACAAAATCCTTGAGTGCTTCTTGAATAAGCTGTGGAAGTTTTGTGGTGCCATAGATCTCCCATACTTTACTCGCTGGG